GGAAAGAGTTCAACCAGTTTTGGATCTGGCCCCCTGGGCGTGCGTCTCGGACACCCTCCCAGGCTGCGACCGGAGAAAGCCCCAAGCGCGGAGGAGAACGCCCGCGCTAGGAAGCTGCTGGAACACATTGCGTTCACTGGGTTCTGGGGCTGGAAGTCCTGTCAGGGCTCATTCGGGGCCTGGGCATGATCGCTTTCATCAGCCCCCGGAGAGCAAGAGCAGCGGCGGCCAAATCCGTAAACACGGGGCAGCCAGTGACCCGCCTGGCAAAAGACTCAGTCGCGCCGGGGAGAGCGAGGGCGGCCAGGGGGGCACCGTCTCCCTGTGGCATTTGTCAGACATAATTGTCACCACGTCTGGCTGGCTCTGCAGCAAGGATTCTTGGCCAGCCGCTCTCTGTCCCAGTCGGCACTGGGGCAACCCCCCCTCGCCAATGTGCTGCTGCTGCTCCCTGACCCACTCTGTCTGTTTAGATCTGGGCCTGAGCTGGCTCCCGTCATCCGAGTATCTGAGCTCCTCATAGACCAAGGAGGCAGGGCAGTGCCATTATCCCCATTGTACAGATGGGGAAACTGAGGCCAGCTCCTCAGGCTGGGCCCCTAAATACCTCCGAGGATCTGGGCCCAAGAGACGAAGGGCTAGACTGTGAATGGGATTTCGAGTACTAGAGAGGGACGCTCACCAGGGTTGCCAGCGTTATATTTGAAAACTACAGGGCAGTTTTCTTAACATCATGATTCCCCTTTGCCTCCCCCGGTGAGGGGCCCAGAGATCCTGCTGTGCCCACACACATCCCACGGCAGGCACCGGCACCAGGCACACATGGGCCAGGCTGGGGCAGGTACCTGTTACTCGCCAGCCACCCTCTGTGCATGGGCGGGGGGGGGAAGAGAGCAGCACGAGGCCCAAACGCGGATGCCTCCTGTGACAGTCAGCCGTGTCCTGGGCAGTGTGCTTCCATGTTCAGCCTGCCCTAGCCCCTCCCGTCCCCAGGAGTGGGGAGAGCTGCAGAGACCAAAGTGCTGCTTCAGTCTGAGGCAGGTGATGTTTTATTTATAGAAAGGCTCTCCCTGATAATACGGGGCTGCTGGCACCCCTCGGCACCACTGACCTTGTCAAAGCGGCAGTGCGCCCCTCTGGTGCCTAACTCCCCTAGGCACCTACATTTCTGCTGGTTGGCCATTCGAAGGCAGGCTGAGTTCTGGGTTCAAGGAGCAACTTGAAGCCAGCGGGGGCTCAGTTCTGTAGCTGTGTTTGGAACACCCCTAACCGCTGATACCTGCCAGCCCCCAACCACGGCAGGAAGGCCGGATGCAGGCCACCGGTAGGTGCGGGGCATGGGGGAGGAGCACAGCACCCAGGAGGGCATGTAAGGTGAGCTGGAGAGGCAGGACTCACCACTCCCCCTCCTTGGGTCTGCTCAGAAGAAGAGTCAACTTGAACCGTTGCCAGCGTTTCATGATTCATCCATTCCAAGGCCAGAAGGGACCCTGGAGGCCATCTAGTCCGACCCCTTGTATGACACAGGCCAGCGAACTGCCCTCTCAAATCGTTCCTAGAGCAGATCTGAGCAGGAGGCCAAAACCTGACAGTCCTTCTGCAATCTGGAAACTTTTGGTTTCATGTTCTCTCCCTGCTCCTGTGGCTCAAACCCGGATTTCCACGTGGCGGTTGGGACAGGAAGCAGGAGCAGAGACAGCTGCTTTCCCAGCACTCCCCGCCTGTTCACAAGCAGGTAATCTGTGAGGATGGCCAGGCCGGGGACCCGGGACAGCCCAGCTAAAATCAGAATCCTGTCCTTGAGCTGATGCTTTATAGTAGAACATCAGGGTTGGAAGGGACCTCAGGAGGTCATCTAGTCCAACCCACTGCTCAAGCAGGGCCAATCCCCAGACAGATTTTTACCCAAGATCCCTAAATGGCCCCCTCTAGGATTGAACTCACAACCCTGGGTTTAGCAGCCCAATACTCAAACCACTGAGCTATTCCTCCCCTTTAGAGGGAGGTGCAAGACAGCCCTTAAAGCAGGATGGTCTTGTTAAGCCACTGCGCTGGGCCTCAGTCTGAGATCTGGGCTCTACTCCCAGCTGTGCCCCTGATTTCCGGTATGACCTTGGGCATGTCGTTTAGGCCCAGATCTTCAAAGCCGTCCCAATGAAATCAAGAGGAGTTGGGTGACCTAAATAGCTCTGAGGATCTGGGCCTTAATCGCTCTGGGCCTCAGTTCCCCAGCTGTAGAATGGAGCTAATAATCTCCCTTTCCCCCCCGCCTTTGTCTGGCCTGTTCAGACTGCGGGATAGGCACTCACTCTCACCACGTGGCTGTGCAGTGCCCAGCACCGGAGGGCGACTAATAATAACTAGGCCGTACCCTGGCCGCAGAGGAAGGGTTTTCCAAGCCCGCACCTGTTTGAGGTTGGTTTGTGTCCCGAAGCCCAGATCTGCTGAGGGATTTTGTCCCTTCGCGAGGCCGATCCCCTTCCACATGCTCAGTCAAAAGCAGCCAAGTTTCCACTCTAGCTCAGCCCTACCTGGGGAATTCGGCTGGGCAGGAACGCACGGTCCAGCCTCTTGGGCGTGAGCTGCAGCCCTCGTAACTGCAAACCCCACAGGATGGGGCTGGGCTGGTGTTTGGAGGGGAGCCTGGAAGTGTTCCTGTGACGCTCCCCAGGGATGAACCATCTCTCCAGTCTGGTGCTGGGTTTGGGGCCTGGCTATGGCTAGAGACATAAAACCTAATCTCATGGCAGGTTTTATGGTGCTTTCCTCCAGAGAGGATTTCTCTGTGCCACTCCAAGTTGGGGGTCTAGTTATTATCGCTCCTCTTATCCTAGCCATGTACGGCCAGGCCTGCTAGAGCCAAGGGGAAGACCGGCTTTCTGTTTAAAGAGCAACTCTTCTAAGTGCTCTAAAATTCACCCGGTTGCTTGGATTTCCTTGAATTTCAGTGTGCCTCATGGGGGCACTGGCAAGGGTTGGTGAGCCAAATTTGGGCTAATTTGAGCAAGGGGTTCCCGAGATACTGTTGTTGCTTTACAGCACCCAGAAGAGAGCTGGGTACTTCCCAGAACAGCATGGTCTGATGTTAGGAGTTGAGGCGATCGGTGGGGAGAGAGTGTGTGTGTGTGGGGGGGGGGGGATGAAGGATGAGGGGTTCTAGCAAGAGGCTCCCAGGGACACTCGGTGTCTGCCTGTGGCCATCTTGTCGCCTCCAATGGGCTTTTTAGGGGTAAGAGTTATTTGTGTGATGGTAGCTGCCCCAAAGACAGACAAAGGCTCGTGTAGCCCCAGTTGGCAGCTGGGGAGCTGAAGCCCAGAGGGAGCCAATAGTCCAGGGTCGCAAAGGGAGGCTGTAGCAGAGCTGGGCACAGACTCCAGGTCTCCGCGGCCACCTTTCCGAAACTGACAGTGGCCAGATCCTGTACGGCGCTTTTCAGCCACAGAGCACCAGGCGCCTTCCAAAGGGGGTCAGTGCTATTAGCTTGACGTTATAGGTGGGGAAACTGAGGCACAGAGGAGGGGAAGGGACTTGCCCACGCTCACCCTGCAGGCCAGCGACAGAGCCAGGGATAGAACCAGATCTCCCAGGCTAGCGCTCTATCCACTAGGCCAGGCTGCCTCCCTAACTATGAAGCTAGGCGGGTCCGTTAGCGAGGAGCGCAGGGGCCTGCGAGTCCGGACGCCTGGGTTCCCTTCTGATCTGTGCCGCTGAGTCCCTATACCAGCTTGGGCAAAAATAGGGGGACCAGACGTCCTGATATGAGGGGCTTTGTCTTGCAACTATACACTCCCCTCCCCCGAGAAAAAAAGTGTCCTATTTTTCACACTTGCTATGTGGTCATCCTGGGCAAAAGTCCCTTCCCTTCTCCATGCCTCAGTTTCCCCCTATAACGTCAAGGGGGGGGGGCAGGATAATCACCCCACCTGGGGGGAGGGGATTGTGATTGCCTTTGAGTTTCCAGCCCCTGGGGTGTAGGGGTCAGAGGGTGGTTAGGCGGAATGTATGAATCACAGCTGGCAATTGGGGGGCGGGGGGGAGCAGGGCTACAGAGCAGCAGCAGATGGGGGGAAGGGGGTCTTTTGGCTCGGCTCGGCTCGGTTTTCTCTTCGGTCCTTTTTCAGGCCGGGCGCTGGGACCCTCTGGCCGGCAGTAACTTGGTGCAAGGAGGTAGGAGGCCGGGGAGCAAGCCCCGGGCGCGGGGGAGGGGTGCGTGGCCGCAGGCTGCGAGGGGAAGCGGGCTGGGGAGGCGGGGCGGCCGGGGATGCATGTGGAAGGAGGCGGAGAAGGGGCAGGAGGAGGCAGGGCTGGCCGGGCGGCTGCTGCTGCGATCCGCGCCCGGGGGGCTGCACCCGGGGACCGGCTGGAACGGACCAGCCCCCGGACCGGTCCGGCGGCCGGGCAGCGGCGGAGAGAGGAGCACAAGGAGCCGGGGCAGCGATCGGCGGGGTGACTCGGCCCCGGTGCACCCACCCGCGGCGGCTTGGGGGCGGGGGTGCGAAGGGGGGGGGCCGCCCGGCAGCAAGAAAGTTACAGCCAAGTCCGGAGCGGCCGCTGGACCCCTCTGCCCGCGTTGCACGGGGAGGTGGGCGCAGAGCAGAAGCGGGGTGAGGGGCTCGCAACCTCCCCGGGATCACCAGGGCTGGACGGGGGGCATCCGGAGACGCTGGAAAAGCGAGTTTTCTGCCTTGGAAAAGGAACCCACTGTTCGATCCCAAACAAAACATCTGGCGTTACCAGCTACTCTGTGGATTTCCCTCCCAAAATATTATCTCCATCTCCTGTTTCTTTCTATCCCTCCATCCCCCCTTTTCTAGATCTATCTATCCCCATACACCTCCTCTATCTATCTATCTATCTATCTATCTATCTATCTATCTCCATACACCCCCTCTATCTATCTATCTATCTATCTATCTATCTATCTATCTATCTCCATACACCCCATCTATCTCCATACACCCCCTCTATCTATCTATCTATCTATCTATCTATCCCCATACACCTCCTCTATCTATCTATCCCCATACACCCCCTCTATCTAATCTCTGCCCCCCCCCCCATATTTCTTCAGGAGCATATTTCTTTCTCAAAACAAACCCCAGAGCCAAAGGGTTAAACGTCCAGTCTGCAGCCCCCTCGCCCCAACCCCTGGATGGGACTCGGGAGCGCTTCAGGAAGAAGGTAAGTGACGCGGCTTGATTATTCTCTGTAGATAAGTGGATTGCCCCTGCCTGTTAATCACTGGAACTGGGTCAGTTTCACTGTAGTTTGAAACCTGTTGCCTGAGTGTGCTGCTGGCTAATTCTCATACACCTGTTGGGCTTTTGAGACTATCTTTTAGCTGCTACTCCCCAGAAAATGCCAGAAACGAGTGTGTGTGTGTGTGTGTGTGTGTGTGTGTGTGTGTGTGTGTGTTTAAAACGGGTCTTGTTGTACCACCCTTGCTTGCAAACGAATCTTTCATCTGCTAGTAATATTTCGCCTTGCACTGATGTCCGCCTGAAAGAACCCCTGGGCGGATTGTTGTAAAAGCAGTGGGGTGGGGCGGGTGTTCATAATATTTCAGACACCAGAGGCTTAACAAAAAGTCAATCCGGCTTTTTAAAGTTCCCCTTTTTTCTGCCCATCGTGGGTGTGGCATCGTTACCACGGTGTGTGTATTTGTGTGCGCTGGGGTGTGTTGAAAGCTGTGGCTGGAACGTGCCAATGGGAGCCAGGGGCAATGCTTTCGCAAGCCACACACACAAAAAAAGCGCCCCATCAAGTTTGCTTTTACTTTTATTGCAGAGACAAAGCTTTGCCCCCTCCCTGCCTGGGAAATAGCTCGAAACATTTTTTATGGAATGTGCAAGTGAGAAATTCCCCCCCCCCCCAACAGTTTTCTCCTTCCCAGTTGTGGTTCTCACACTTGAAGGCTTTGGACCTGATGCAACCCCCCCCCCCCCCCCATTGATTTGGGGCCTCTCTGTGCAGTAGGAAACAGCAAAACGCCATTCTACTGTTTCACTTTGGCATCCAAAAATACTTCAGATTCTTTCATTTCAAAGAGCTCAGGGAAGGGGGCAGGGAGGGGAATGTTTACAAACAAGGACAGGTTACAGAGGGGAAGAGAAAGGTACACGCAGAGCTCTGGCCTTTAGCCATTTCTGGGCCCAGCACAGATCTACCCTGTGGGTCCAGGTATTTACCGGGCTGTGTTTTCCAAGATACTCCAGTGAGGAATCCGAGCAGTGGAATCCACTGGCAGCTCTGCTGTTGTCACTAAAAGGGAAAAGGATTGTGTTGAGAGAAACGTAAAAGGACCCTGCGTCGCATAAAGAAACCTAAAGGGTGCTGTTTTTTTTTTTTAAACCCTGATCTATAGCCACGTTTGGCTGGCACTACCCTCCCGAGATATACTCAAAGAGTAAAACCTATGACATCTCTCCCATTCCGTCCTCAATGTCAGCCCGGGTGGTCCTAGGTGCAAGCGTGGGATGTGGGTCGTTTCTCTGCGATAGATAGATATTATTATGGGACACATTGCTTCAATCTCAGCCCAATTTGGTGCCAGCCCGTCGCACCCAGCCCATGGCTCTGTTCCCCAAAAGACCCTAAAAACCACCTCTTGATGCGTATCACCCATTGCAGCTGTTGCTGGGGTGATTGGAACCTCAGTCCTTCCGGGACTACGCGGGCTGGACTCCGCTGTCGTTCACACGGCCCGGCTTAATCCCCGAGGGAAAATGTTAGCGGGCCGTAATCCTCTGGGAGGTGGCAGGCGGTGATGCTACTGCAGAACCCACCTGCTGTCAACTCCCAGCAAAATTCCCTTTATAGAGCCATGTGTCGAATAAAGACCAGATTGTTTCACTACATTGCAATGTGCTGATTGGGAAGCTCCCATGTGGAGTGGAGTTGCTTGGTGGAAAAAAAAAATGACTTCACTATAAATGTGTTTGTGTGCGTTCTCTCTGGTGCATATGCACTGTAATAGTGGCTAGAACAAGGCAGACTGCGGGTCAAATCTGGACCTCCAGGCACTTTTGACCACTCCAGACCCCACAGTCTTTTTATTTGCTTAGTATTATCATTATTGTTGTTGGCTTTTTTATTATTTTCACTGGAGTCTGGACCTTGGCTATACCTTGACCAAGAAATTTGGAATTTGAACAAAAAAATAATAATAATTGACTACCCCTGGGATAGACTGTCAGGGATCCTGCATTCTAGAGCTCGCTTTGAAAGAGGAGTGTTTGTATAATCATCAGATCAGGGACCGGGAGTCATGACACCTGGGTTCGTTTCCCGGTTCTTCCATTGCGTGCCCTTGTTCAAGTCATTTGCCTGCTCTTCAGTATTGCCAATGACAAGTGTTTGAAAATTATGAGTCATCGCTCCACCCCCGCTTGCTGCAAAAAAAAATCCATGAGATTAGTTTAGAAATGATGAGATTGCTAAAGAAAAGAATAAATGTTGCGGGATTTCTGTAAGGCCTCGGGATTCTGAGACGTTGATGTTCACAACTTGAAGCTTTTTTCATAACCATGAGGGCTAGTAATGTACTTTTAAAAAAAACCCCAAACAACCAGGAAGCTGAGATTCTGATGTGTTCACGTGACTCCAGCAGCTGGGGCTGCAAGAAAAGCGCCAAATAGCTCAAGACTCTCAGTTAAATTAGGAGAGCTGACATCACTGGTTTTGTGCCTCTATTTTCCCAAGGGGAGAATATTCCTTGCTTTTATAGAGAAGTTGTGAAGTACTACTGATTAGGGTCTCACGGGCTCCCATGGGAAGTTTGCCTGAGTGGGGAGTACAGATCCCGGCTGGCTGTGAAAGGTTTTGACCTCCTCCGATGTAAGGCAATCTATAAGAGCAAAGTATTATTTCACAAGGATATGGGGATATATTATATGCCTCCTCTAAGTGTACATTTGAGTGGCAATGCCAGCATTAACCCCTGCCCACCCATTAACCCTAAATCCTGCCCCCGAGCCCTCAAATCCTCTGTCCAAGTCAGTTTAGAACCAGCACGGAGTCCATATCGATCCTGAATCTCCTGGAGTCTAAGGTCGGTAGCAGCCCCAGAAGCTTTGAGTGGTCCCCAAAATAATGTGCAGTGGAACTTGCTAATTGCGGACTGGAACGGAACAAACTCTGTTTATAGTGGAAGAGAATGGAAAGCCAAAGCTATTTCAGTGCCCTGCAATGTTCAGATTGCAATCCACGCCCGGGACAGGGCAGGGTGTGTGTGTGTGTGTGTGATGACTTTGCTGTAGTATAAAATCCCTCCTAATTGATGGTTACATGCACCTGGATTATTCTGTGTATTCTGGAGCGCCACCCTTTGTGCTGGGTGCCGTCCCGACACATAAGAGATGGTGCCCAAGACGTTATTAGATGAGAAGCAAATAGCATTTCCCTGCGTATTTATTCCTTTGATTGGAGTAAATGCGCTGCTAGCCTAAATATCACATTTAGAAGCTTCCTTTTCACACCTCTATCCGTGGGAATCAAAGAAAGTCGAGACGAAAGAACCATATGGGCTCATGCCCAACACCGGATTTTTCCCTATGCACCCCGGCGATGCTCTGGTAGCTTTGCATTGCAGGAGCCCCCACCCCTGCTAACAAACTGGCTTGTCTCTCTACAAAAGTGTACTCTGCCAGTGTAGTTAAAGCGGTACAAGCCTCCCCTAGTTATACCAGTATAAAGGTGCTTACAGGAAGGGGCAATAAACTATCCCAGCATAAGGCACAAAAACTAGGTGTGGACCAGAACGTTCAGTCAAGCGCCCTCTTGAGAAGGGATCTTGCATGTATCACGTGTCTATAACACACGACTGAATGAGGGTACGTCTACACTACAGAAAAAACCCAGTGGTAGCAAGTATCAGAGTCCGGGTCAATTGACTGGGGTTCACAGGGCTAAAAATGGCAATGTAGGTGTTCCCGCTGAGGCTGGAGTTGGGGCTGTGAAACCCAGAAAGGGGGGAGTGGGTTGACCCAGGCTCTGAGACTCGCCGATGTGGCTTTTGTTTTGCACTGTGGATGTACCCTTAAAACAGAGCCGCTTGACTTTAAGACCAAGAGAAATCCTGCTGACATCCAGTTTGTGAGGGAAAACCTGGAACATTTGGTAGAAATTTTTTCATGTTTGTTTCATGGGGGGATAAAAATCCCCATGGCCCACTCAGCTCTGTTAGTGACGTTTCTGCCCCGGATGTTGATTTGCACCAGTTGGCATCACGTTCTTCCTGAACGGCCCTTGTCCCCCTGTGGATGGAAGCTGATTCGTTGCTGCGTGCTTGGTATAGCTGGTTACAGGTGCTTTCAGCAGCAGTGCGTGATCCTGGCTGTGGGCCTGCACCCAGATCTGATTGCAGGACCGGGGTTGGGCGATCTCTGCTGTAATGCAGATGGTGAGATTGTTAAGATGAAAAGGTAGATTCAACCAAGAACTCAGGGCCAGATTTCCAGGGGATCGGCACCCACGACTGGGGCTAGATTCTCCACAGCACTCAGCGCCCACCAGCTCCCAGGGTGAGATTTTGCAAAGATCTTGGCAACCCGCCCCCCACGCTGAGCTCATCTGAAACTCTTGGGCTTCAGGAAGACGCAATCCTTTCTTGTGTTCCAAAACGTGAGCCGCGCTTGGCCGCTGGTGCTGAGCAGCCTTGTAAAGCAGATGTCAAACCGAAGGAGGGCGGAGGGCAGGGACTTTTAATGGGACTGAACTAAGCGGAGCAGTTTGGCTTGGAGAGGGAGTGTTCTCTTGATGTTGGCTCTTCGTTTCCTCTTGTCTCCGGGTCTCTGCTTTATTTCCCGGCGCCTTGTCTCCTTTTCCAGCGCATCTCCAAGAAAAGAGGACGTCATAGTATTAAGAAACATATGTGAGCATAATGAATTGGAACAGCCCCGGGTCTCCAGGGAGGCGTTGTGGCAATCCGGAGGCTCTGGGGCCTAGTCCTAGACCTGACACGTAACGTAGGCCCTTAGGCAGGTTATTCAGCCCCAGCTCAATGGATGGAAGGGAAATCAGTGGCCGTCAGGAGCCGAAATCCCTTTGAAGAGCTGAAGAGCTGGGCCTTAGAACCTGAGATACTTACGCTTGTTCTCAAGTCTATCCCCGTTCGGCTAAGCCTGTGTTTAAGCGCTTGGATAAATGGTACTCGGGTGCTTTGCTGAATCAGGGTCAAAGTA